ATATATTTTTTTTTCCCTTAGGGGTATATGTATATGTATTTATTTCTGTGTGCATGTTTTACTGTGTTAAATATCAATATAAAGATGTGCCATAATGTTTGTTTCTTGTGATTTAACTTAAAAAAGACCCTTATGATCTTCTCATATATAAAGCAGAATTCCATTAGGATATTAGAAACATTTTCAACTGATATATTTAATTGACCGTTACAGAGAGTGCTGCAAAAATCAAAGCAAATCAGGCTAATAAAGGAATAAAATAACATAAAAACGCATCAAGTAAAAGGAAAAAAAAGATGCAAATCTGGGATTTAGTATTTGTATTTAGTATTTAGGAATTAAGTATTTGAACTCTTTATCGTTGGACTAGAACATTTAAAGAAAGAATTGAATGTATATTAATCATTTTATACACTGAACTTGCTGCAGAGCAGAAACTAATTGAAAACACGGACAGTAATGTCGGGTGTGGGGACAGTAAGATATCAGTGAATATGAATGACGTCGGTACTTAATGTTAATACAAGGGGCAGATGTGTACTGTGGATGCTAGTTGCCCTTGTCCTGGCAAGTCATCAGGGTCTTGCTGTGTCGCCCCCTCGCAGAGTTTATGTACCTAGTTAAATCGCGTTACATAGAGGGGGAAAACGAGGCTACTTAACCTCCTCTGATAGGAACTGTAAACAAGCACTCAAGATCCAGACCCTTGATCTTGCTTTAAATATAGACTTGTTTATCAGTGTCATCCTAGGAGGATTAATTAGATACATTTATTCACAATTTGGTGTCTGACACCACAGCTTAGGAATGCCTTATAATCACAAGGTGTTAATTGGGGCCAGGCAGGCACTTATGTTTCTATTAAACAGTGTGAGTGCTCCTCCAGAATACATTTCTGCTCATGTGTCCTGCCTTTTTTTGTACTCCACTAGATACATATTAAAAGAATGTTTTGAACTTCCCAGATAGCAAGGATAACTTGCTACAAACTTGTGGCAGGGTGAAATTGTAATTTTGTTAACTTGCTGCACATATTCCTGGCAGAACACTTGCTGCACAAGTTCTAGTTGGCACTTTTTGAATTTGTAGCAAATTTGCTTGGCAAGTCTACAGCAAGAGTCCTGCAGGTCTTAGCAAGAGCTCTGCAAGCTCGCTGGTCTGGAGACTTGCAATGCAGACTTGCTGTAATTGTGCAACAAAATTATGAAGCTTGGCAAGTCTGCAATAGTTTAGCAAGTCATTTTCAAACTTGCAGCTCAATTGCTTGCTATCTGGGATGTTTAGGAAGGACAGAAGGGTTTCAATAAATATATTTTTTCCGGTAAAATAAAATAAAACAAAAGCAAAGATTTACTAATATACCAATAAGGAAATAAAATAGAGGAGAGTGAAAATAAATCGAGATTGTTTTTTTTTAAACTAAATCTCCTTTTAACTTCCACTCTCTTATATCACTCGCAGTTTAATCTTATTAACTACTTAATTTCCTACAAAGGAAACGACTTGTACCTTTCTGTGTATGCAAAGCGATAGAGGATAGAGTATTGAAGACCTGTAATTTATTTGCACCCTCCATTTAATTACACATACTGTAAAGGGCTCTTTCATCCAGGTGTTTGTGGCTGTTGGAACTGCAAAATAACCTCCTTAAATAATATGCAAAAATGTATTCTTTTGAGATGGTCGCATGTATGTATTATTTTTTAAACTAGCTTAGCACTACTCTACTAGACATATGTTTTATACTTATCTATCTAGATTACATATCTAAGCTCTCGTTTTTATATCTAAATATATGTGTGTGTATATA